CATGGTTCAAGGCAATCCAGTTTGTCGGAAGGAGGACTGTTCTCAGTACGATATTGGCTTGGTTTTCAAGGAAATCAGCTCATATTCAGACCAGGACAAGCTCAAGTTCATAGAGAATGTGTGGAAACCAGGTAAGCTATTTGACTTCCCAGTGTCAGTGGAATGTTCGAATTCTAACCGTCATTTTGTGTGGAGCTGGCTGAAAAGATTTCCCTGGCTAGCATACTCTAAATATCTCGATGGTGCATTTTTTTACCGTATGTTTTTTTTGGAGTCCAGTGTGGGCGAAATTCGAATAAACTAGACATATTGTACAAGTCTCCACTCACACTTTGGATGTCCGCCACTTAAGGTTTTACCAAACACGCGAGCGGGAAATGTGAGATGCATAATTTTGCGGTAATAGGACAATTCCACAATGACGATATTTGACTACAACTACGAGAATTCATTTCGGTTTTGCCTTGTTATTTAAATTTGTCAATTCCGCTGAGGATTAAAGAACAATAGCCTTAATTTGCACAAGAAACAACAAACTCAAGGATTCTGGTAGTTGTAGTAAAATGACGTTATTGAGCAATTGTCCTATTACAATAGAGAATTTTTTAAGAAATATGACAAGAGAATTGGTGCCAATTGATCAACAGATCAACAACTTACTTCAACAGCAAATCAAAAGAAATTGCAAAATACTGGAATCCCTTTTCAAAACAATAATTTTCTGCAGAAAAAACAACATAGCCCTCAGAGGTCCACAAGACGATGATTCACAAAATGCCAGTCCTTCTGGAAACTTTCGGGCACTGTTAGCATTTGGAATTGACAGCAGTGACCAAACACTGCAACATCACCTGGAAACTGCACCCACAAATGCGACATATATTTCTTAAACCATTCAAAATGAGATGATTACAACTGTGGGTGCTATCATAGTGAATAATTTGTCACAGGAAATCAGGGATAGCAAATATTTTTGCATTATGTCTGACGAAACAGCTGACATATCTATAAGGAAAATCTTTTGGTGGTGATCAGATTTCTCGATTCGACCAAAACAGTCACAGAAGAATTTGTGGGATTCTACCTTTGTGAGGATGTGAGGAGCAGCTATCAAAGATTTTATAATTGGTGCTGTAGCTGATTTAGAACTATCTATGGATGACTGTCATGGCCAATGTTATGATGGTGCAGGCAATATGTCCGGGTGCTTGAATGGAGCTTCATCACTTATTAGGGCTGAACATGACAAGGCTATCTACGTCCACTGTATGAACCATAGGCTTAACTTGTGTGTTGCTGACACATGCGAATTACCACTTGTTAGAAACATGATGGATGTTGTAAGAAACCTCTCAGAAGTTTTGGACAATTCTTCGAAGCGACAGCAGCATTGGATCAGCAAGATAAGAGTATCGATGCCTGCTGCCAACCACTTTGTTCTGGTAAATGTGTGTTGAACGAGGTGGATTGAGCGCATTGATGGTATACACCGAATCGTGGAGCTTCTTCACACAGTTGTGGCTACACTTGAAGACATTTCATTGAACAGAAATGCTCCCAGTGATAAGAACTGGAATCAAGACAGTAGAAAATCACATTTTCCTTTATTGTTACTCTTCTTATTGCGAGACACATTTTAGACTTAACCAGACCACTCACAGTTAGGCTACAAAAGAAAGCAATGGATCTTCTCAAAGCAAAAGAGAAAATTGTTCTGTTAAAACCAGCCTTAAGAGGTATGCAAGGTGACCTTAATACTAGACACCATGCTCTCTATGAAGAAGCTGTTACCCTAGCAAGACGTGTTTCAGTACAGCCAAGCATGACCAGGATAATTCAGAGGCAAGTTCACAGAAACAATGCACCAGCCACAACCCCTGAAGACTATTACAGGATCAATCTGACAACAGACTTCCTTAACCACGCTCTCATGCAACTGGACAGCAGATTTGAAGATGATGTTTTTGTGTGCTACAAGGAATTTTCAGTGATTCCTTCTATTTTGTTGGCTGCTGACCCTATTTGGAAGGATAATGTTAGGAAATTTTCTAACCATTACAGACAAGATATCCCTAATTATGCAGGTTTACCAGCAAAGCTTTTGTTGTGGGAAGAATGTGGAAGGGGAAAAAGGATAGAAGAGAAGACATCCCTGACGGTATAGGTGCCACCCTGGAAAAAAATTAAAAAGGATGCTTATGTGAATATATATATACTATACTTCACATCCTGATAACCATTCCTATTTCATCGGCATCTTGTGAAAGGTTCATCTCAACCCTCCAAAATCTGAAGGCTTATTTGAGAAATACAACGGTCCAGGATAGACTAAATGGATTAGTACTGATGCTTGCCCATAGAGAAATGGAATTAGACCTTGAAAAAAGTAGAGATTTGTTTGCTAATTTCCATCCTAGAAGAATGAGAGTGGAAAATATTTTAAAAGCATAATTTTGTACCCAACAGTCACTTGTGTTTCTAGAGTACTTGTGAGTTATGCTCCATCAGGATTAATGTAATCCTTAAAGTGATGGAGAACAGTACAGATACATAGCTGGTGTCTGTTGTACAATTGTATTAATACTAATATCTAGACAAAAACTCGTTCTTCAATAGTTTTCTGAGTTATGTTTCCACTGACAGTGGGTGTTCAATAAGATTAAATGGTTTTTACACTTGGGTCTAGTTATTACACTCGTGCCTCCTACAGAAGGCCATAACAGTACCCCTTAATTCTGGTGCATTGATTCCAAGTATGTTCTGTCCCTTTAATGAATGGAAGGCAACAGCTGGAGAAATTCTACAAATATCTTCCAAACACCAAGTTGAGCCATAAGACAAAAATAAACGGATCCATCTTCAGAGTTATTGGATGATAGTAGACAGCAGATGCTGGCTATTCTAGAAGTTGCAATATCAGATTCGTCTATTCACTCTGACATCCAGTTAGTTTTGGAGCAACACCTAAAGGAACACCATGAAGACAAACGGAGTGTCACATCAATTCTGAGACATCCAGACGCATTAGAACACAAACTAAATTCCTGAAACAAAACGTAAAAGTCGGGTTCTTAAGAATCTCATAAAACGGCTCTTGTCACAGCCACCAAAAGGAAGACATCATAACCAATGATACTCGCTTTCTTTCTATTTGAGCTGAGATTTATTTTATTTGATTGATTTAACTTGGACCAGTACATTTTTTTTCTACTCAGGATTGGTGGTATTTATACCAGGGGACAAATCAGATGTCTGGATTGAAATAAGGCAGACATATTTCCTTATCCGCTTGCAATCGTCTATGACTTAAAACTTGCATCAACAACACTTTGCTTAGCCTCCCAAGCAAACGTTCACAGCGGTTCGTCATGTAAATAAAAAAAAAGAAAAAAAGAAATTACCCATCTGTTTGCATTGAGAACAATCCAATCTGGCCTATTGGACACTTCAGAAGCTCGCAAAAAGTACCATGAACGTATCTCCCAAAACACCTTTAGTTATCAAAGAGTCAGTGCAAGAGTAGTGGGCAGCTGGCCTCCAGCAAAGAGTGTACATAAAGGAATTACTTCCTTTCATGACAGCTGGCCATTCATGTTGCATTACTGTTTCCTGTTTATCAAGTATGATTTNCTCGCAAAAAGTACCATGAACGTATCTCCCAAAACACCTTTAGTTATCAAAGAGTCAGTGCAAGAGTAGTGGGCAGCTGGCCTCCAGCAAAGAGTGTACATAAAGGAATTACTTCCTTTCATGACAGCTGGCCATTCATGTTGCATTACTGTTTCCTGTTTATCAAGTATGATTTACACCAATTTAGCTCCATACCAACAATACCAAAACAATCATTTATCATGTTAGAGACACTCAGAGACAAGCTTTCACAGAAGCGCTCTTAAGGGCCCTCCAAAGGAACATGACATTGGAAAATGCTGTTCCTGAACATTTTAATATTAAGTATACTTATGAATTATTTTCCTAATAATTATTCTAGTTTTAGACTCATTTTAGACTAGCTTAGAGAGGGCCATTATGAAAACTATTGCATCCTCAGTAATTGTTGTTACCCTCATTAAATAAAATGTTTTTACTACTACATGTTGTGATTGATTGAGTCAAACACTTTCTTAGTATGTAGCAATACTAAACACTTAGTATGCTATTACTTATAATTTCTACTCATTTCATCACACATTTGGATGAGGGTTGTTACTGTCAAGTGATTTGGCTGGAATCCAGACTGAAATTTTCATAGCATGTAGCTTTCAGTTACATTAAAAGGAATTGAACCACAATTTATCTCCATAACAAACAAAACCCCCTTTCCATTTATTCAGGTAAATGCCTATTTGCAGGGTTTTTGATCTGGCTATTTCCTGTGAACTTGCCACTTACTTTTCTTTGAAAATTACCCCAGTTTTTAGAGAGAATGTAAGGAAAATTGGCCCTAGAACACTAACATTGGATTGGCAAAGTTTTGTTCTTGAAAAACCAAAGAAACTTCCATAAATAAAACTATGAGTAGCATCACAATGTATGGTGGCTTGCATATGTGGAGGGAAAAGGAATGTACAGCCTCTTGTCCCATAAACACAAGACAAAGAACAAACAAAACAAATCCAAAGTGTTTACCAGTGATCTTGCCATTAGATTCAGAAAGCCAACAATGACTTCTCATGCTGATTCAAGACAACATCACCAGCCATTGAAGCCAAGCATTTGTAGAAGGTTTTAACATTCTACGAGGAGTCAGTATTTAAAGAAAAAAAATTATTTTATATTGCAGATGATGTGTTTTTTAAAAATTTCATTTCTGTTTACTGGATCACTAGATATGAAATCCCTATATGCAAATTTGCACCTTTTCTTCACCTTCTAGGGAGAATAGGTGCCACTGAGATGAAGTAATTCACTCATGGATCATCTGTCAGGGTAAGACTTAACAATAATATTAGTTCATGTGTCAGTGTGCATATGTCAAGATATTGAGGACGCTGGAAGTATGGAGAGCACAAAAGAGGTGTAAGAGTTGCTTGAGGTGCAGTCGAGAGCAGCTCTAGCCTCTTGATGCTGCATATCTCGGCATACACATTGATGGTAAACACTTCATCAGGTACTGTCAAGTTATTGATGCACTTGGGAGACGTCTTGAGAGGACTGCTAAGATCACAACAACTTGAGGAGTGGTTTATTGACATCATCAGCATGCTCAATGGGAATATGTAGCACACCGCACTATTGAACTTGATTAAGTGAATTTTCTAGCTATGTTGTAAAACTCTTTATCATACTCAAGCAGGTCATTCTCGAACAGCTGCTTGACAAAGTGCACAGATCAATTTTTTTTTGGTTCTTTTGTGTCATGATGTCACCAATATTGCAGCACTTGAATAGTTTATCAACCTTACCCACCTCATTCAGACACAGATTCTAGCAAGATTTGCACTGGCTTTCTCTTTGTTGAGAAAAAAAATTCAGCAAGTCACTAGATGCCTAGACCCTCTCTAAGGTCACACAAACCCTCATTCCACCACCATGGATGCTTGAAACAGGGTAAAGAAAAGGAAAAACGTACATGAACCACACTCAAGGGGTAATCGCTAATGTTGCTTCCACTGCTAAAGCAGTTGCACATGTTGCACAAGTACAAATTACTGATGCAGCAGTGCAGGCTGATATTGAGTAACAAGGGCAACTCTAGCATATGAAAACCATCAAGGAGGAGATACACCAGCACACCAGTGAACTGAGATTTTTTGGCCACGATACAAATATTGATTTTTTGAATAACACACCGCAATGTTATGATATCATGATTCTTCATCAACATCCAGGAATAACTGTCTTAAATGACTCCTTATGCAAATCCAAGCCCCGCATGTAAATGTCTCGAGCGACCTAAAATGGAACCAACGTATTGCCAAACTTGTTACGAAAGCTAGGAAAAGGCCTTTTTTTCTCTCTCGGTTAAAGTACTCAGGCCTAGGCTCTATCGAATAAGTACCAGTTCCATCGTACCCGTGTTTGCCCTATTACTGAATACGCCTGCTCAGTTTTTCATGGCAGTCTACCCTTGAACCTTTCCCATATATGCAAAAGAGGGCCATGTATATCATTAATTCCATGTTTTTCTTATGAAGAAGTACTTGTTAAGGTAAGTCCTGCCACCCTGTCAGGCAAACTTTTCAAGAACATTTTACAAGAGAAAAACAGTATGCTTAGAAGTTTACTTCCCCCCAGAAAATACCAAATGTTACAACCTCAGGAAGCCACACAAGTTCACTCCGGTTTTCAAGACTTGGAGGCTTAAGATTTTAATTAAATTCCAGAATTTAACAGAACTCAAATACGTTTAGTATATATTTTATTGAATTTTACTTATTAAGTGTTTTAAGTAATGAATTACTGTGTGTGTTTCTTTTTTTATGTTTTTACCATGTAAATACAACATAATTCAGCTGTTGGGTTGCAAAGTTATATAAATAGACTATCTTTATAGCTATTATCATAGTTAATTGAGCGGAATGGTTATGAAACCCGTCAGACTCCTTTGTTATATGTTTTTGTGGACCTGAAAGTGCACAACGTTCAAAAGAATTCCTATCATTTTGATTGTATTGACCAATAAAAACGTTGCATTAATTTATTCCGTAAAAATTTGCCAACAGAAAACAAAGGATTGTGCACTTTCAGGGTGCTTCCANGAATGGTTATGAAACCCGTCAGACTCCTTTGTTATATGTTTTTGTGGACCTGAAAGTGCACAACGTTCAAAAGAATTCCTATCATTTTGATTGTATTGACCAATAAAAACGTTGCATTAATTTATTCCGTAAAAATTTGCCAACAGAAAACAAAGGATTGTGCACTTTCAGGGTGCTTCCAACATAAACTGCAGCACTGTTGTTTTTATCACTGATGTTTGCCGCTTTTCATAACCAGTCTTCTCTAATAACTATGCTATTATTAAACAAAGGGTCAAGAAAGTTCCATCCTTGCTTCATATAGCTTTGCATACTTCCAATCCAACTCTTTTTTTTTTTTAAGATTGTGTAACAAAGGCATACTTACATTGCAAAGTTCCAATTAGTTGCCAGCTGACACAGTCTTAAGCCCTCACAGGTAAAACACCCTATTGGTCAGAAAATGTCTTGTTACCGTACTCATTTACATCGAAGGTGTGGAAAGACTTTAGATTCAAGGTATTTTATGATAACAAAGGTGTGAGAAACTTTGTAAAAAAAACTGTAATCTGTCAAAATTGTTACTCGGAACTACAATACACTGGCTCATTGACCAACATAAGTTTTCATGTCCAACGACATCATCCATCAACTGCATCGGCAGTGTGTTCAAGTATTGAAAGTGTGTTATTTATTACTGTGCTTTGTTATGAGTGGAAATAAATTATTTCAAATCAGTTTAGTACGATAAAGTTACTTGTCAAGTGTATGTAATGATGTATTGTACCGTGTATCATATCATATTGTGAGAAAATGTACCATGGCAGCCATAAGCTTGAAGCAGCCAATTCACATTGTTGATTAATTTATGAACATAATTGTTACATTTGCCAAAATATGATTGCCTTTTTTGCCCTTTTTTTAGAATATAATATATTTTATTGTCAAGTTTGTAATTTGTACTTTAAATCCAGCACCAAATTAACCGTATTAAAATACAAAACTGCAAATCACAGTCACAGTAGGGAAAATGTCAAATAAGGTATCATCCTTGCTGGGTCTTTTCGCCAGAAGAAACAAAAAGTATAACTTACATAGAGTAAAGGTTACCAAGTATCACATCTATTTTGTGATGTATAATCTAAAGGGTAGTTTCCACATAATGGTTTGTCATTTCAATTTAGCAAATCATATTCTCAGCTTAAAAACACGTATGAACTGGATGCAGCCAAAGAGTTTAGTGAACAACAACTAGCCTATATAAAGGCAACAATTACTTTTTAAAGGGGTGGCAGATGGGGGTTCAGGGGTAAGATTTTACTGTCACTGAATCTGATACATAAATTTCTCTTTTTCGCTTTAAAATCA